AGTTGGAGTTGGCTTTGCATCTTTTCTCCGCGTGCGCGAAACAACTGACTTTTAAGTTTTTACCCATAGAGCCGGCTGCAGCTTTCAGAGTCGGCTTTATGCACTTCTACAACCAGTTGCAAGTTTTAACAGCTGGCTCTCTATACATTTTCAAGCATTTTGGTCCATTTTTAATGCAGTCCAAATTTACTTTGCAATCTTTTGACATGTAATACCCCAAAATTTTGTGATATTTTAGCATTAAGTTAAGGACTAAATTGTGGAAAAATATTGTTTTGAGCTTAATAGCCAAAATTCCCAAACTTGAGGGACTTAAAGAGTAGAAATTTTGGATAAGGATGGCTTATTTTTTTCCTTCTTTCTTTCTTTCTTCTCAGCCCGATTCTGCTCTTCTTCTTCTTCTCCCCGTTGCAGCCCACCCGAAAGAAGAAAAAAAAAAAAAAAGGGAACCCAGCCATGCCTTGGAAAACCGGTAAGGAGGCTTGATGTTATCCTTCTTTTCTTGTCTAAGAACAAGATTTAGGAGCTTAGAAACCTTCTCCCCCTGCTGGAAATTCCAGATCTGCTCTGCTCTGTCTTCCCCTGTCCGTGAGCTGCAGCTTGTGAGTGTGATTTCTGGGCATTTTTTCGGTAAGAACAGCCATGAATCTCCCTTCTTCAGCCTTAATTTGGCTTGGGTGCACTTTAATTCCTCTTGTTCCTTCAATTTAGGTAGACCCGTGAGTTCCCCTGCAGATTGCCGCCGGCTTCCTCATCAGCCAAGCCCGGTTTCTGCAGCTGGAAATTCTGGTATGTTGACAGCCCTCCAAGCCCCGAATTTGTCCATTTATTTGCTGCCTTGTGTGTCCGAAAATCTGCTGGAAATAGGGGATAAATTTGATAGTAATTAGACCATGATTTAGCTTAATTCAAGTGGGATTTATGTGATTGAGTGTTAATTGACTGCTGTGAGATTTTTGGAGAAAATCCCGTGAATTAGCTAGGGTTTTGGCCAATTTTGGAAGTGCAGTTACTGTTTACGGCACTGTTGACGGGCACTGTTCACAAATACCGTTCACGCACTGATGGCGAATAATTAACGGAGATTAAATGATTAGTTTGTAATATAAGAACAAATGTGGAGATTGATAGGAATAGCATCGTGATTAGGAGTAGTCCTAATGATGATTTCAGTTTGAATTTGTGATAGTATAGAATTAATTCTTGGATATTTTGATTAGGTTCCTGATCGTTCTGTCAGTTAGCACTGAGATCGAGTCTTCGGTTTTATGCGAGTGAGATAAGTAAATTTATGATAATACTCGTACAGTTTTAAAAGCATGTTTTGACTTGTTTTTGAAGTGGTGGCAGGACTAAACTTGTTTTATACAAAAGTAAGTATGACTGATTTGAAGTAAAATTTTTATGCTTTTCATTAAATTGAGCATGCCTACTTGAAATTTAATTGATTGTCCTGATGATTTAAAAGTAATTGGTGAATTATGATTTTTCTGTTAACTTCTACCTATTTTATCTACGATGTGGTTATGCTATTGATAACCCTACTAGTGGGGGTTAAATGCTAGCATATGTAGATATGGTACTGATAGAACTGGTTCGTTTCTGTTACCCTGCTAGTGGGGATTATACACCAACAAATATTGTAGCCTGCCAGTTGAAGGTTTATAACACTGGCCGTGACCTATAGAGGAGACATCTATTTCGTTCCCGCATTGTAACTGTTTTTTCGTGATTATATTTGTTGGCATGTTATACGTTTAATTAAGGGTAATCCATATTTTACTTACTGAGTTTATCTCATATTTTTTCCTTATCCACCATTTCAAGAAACGAAACCGAGGACAGGGAAACCATAGGAAGTGACGAGTTAAAAGGCTAGTCATTTCGAGATTGATATAGATTTTAGATATAAATCATGATCTTGTAAATTGGATTTTAATTGGAGATTTTATAAATTCATTGAATGGATTGTTAGTTACAAGAGATTTGACCTTGAGATTTTGGTGGTATCAGATTGTGATATGATAAGTTCTGAGCCTTATGCATTTGTGGGACCCTTTCACGAGTGCACAACGTTTGTTGTGCCTCGGATTTAGGTTCTGGGGCGTGACAATAAGATTTCAATATCCAGATAAGTATTGGGTATTGAAAATTTATACCTATTACCCAACTTGTTGGATACAAATATATTCACATATATACTTGTATACTTGTTAAATTTTATATTGAAAATACATAAATTAATATACAACTATAAGTTTATACATATAATATAAGTTTATATATAAAACAAAATATGTGAGTATATACACTCACATATACACAAGTTTATGTATATAATAACAAAAGAAATACAAACAAAAATCCACATGATTTTTCTTAAGTTGAATTTTCACTACCAAAAGAAAAGAAAAAAAACATAAACATTTTAATTTCATAACATTATATTATAAATTAAGTATATAAAACTAAAATATAGATCATATATGTGGGTCAGATATATAGATTAAGTGTATGGGTCAGGTATACAGGTTAAGTATATAAGTATTGACCCTCATACCCAATATTTACCTAATACTTAGTAGGTATGTAGTTTTCATATCCAGTATTTAACTGTCTCTTAATATAAGTAAAATATCTATTCAAACAAGTCAGGTACCTATAGATATCAAATATATCCATACTTGATGCTCGGCTCTAGTTTTGTTCATATGAAAAATTTTCTCAGAATTGAAACCTTTTGGAAGAAAAGCTTAACTTATAATTAAAAAAAAAAAAAAGAAGAAGAAGAAGACAAAGAAGAAGAGAGGAAAGACTTATAATCAGGTGGCAAAATACCCAAATCCACCCCCAAAGTATAGTGGCAGGGACGGATCCACCCTCGAACAAAAAACAGGGACAAATTCACCCACAAAGTTTTCGACTTGGACAAATCACCCCAAATTTAATGTGTGACGTCATTTGACATCAGCAATCTGTTAATTTGACGTCATCTGACGTCAGCAATCCGTTAATGAATTAACAGATTGCTGATGTCAAATGACGTCACACGTTAAATTTGGGGTGATTTGTCTAAGTTGAAAACTTTGTGGGTGGATTTATATACTGTTTTTTGTTCGAGGGTGGATCCGTCCTTGCCACTATATTTTGAGGGTGGATTTGGGTATTCTGCCTAATCAAGTTTTACCAAAACTTTTGGATGTTTTGTCCACGTATTCTGACGTACACTTGACTATCGTATTTTTCCTCATGCTTAATAGCTGTTTCATTGAAAAAAAGAATGTAAGATTCATAGGTGGACCTGTCTTCTAACTTTGTCAGCCTTTTTCCTGGGATTTTGGTTCCTTTCAAAGAAACCTTGGTTGTTTTTAGTCACAGAATTTCAGAAAAACATTTCTTTTGTTTTCCGATATTGACGACTGGTAATATTGCAGAGTCTTAAACGTGTATTTTAATTGAAAACTTTCATTGATATTCCTACAACGAACCACTGGAACTATCGAGTACACTGCCAGGCCGCTTGAATAAGTTTTTGTTGCCCAAAATTTCATTTTACCAATATATATATATATATAACAACAATAAATTTTATTTGTTAGGGAGTATAATGGGCACTCGGATCGAATGTACATGATAGTAACGCGGATAGAGAATAGAGAGAGATCTTGTAAAAAAAAAAAAAAGGTGAGAGATATTTTGTGAAAAAGAGCACAACATTCTTATGTATCTCCCTGTACATTAGATATATTCATTCCTAATTTAAGCTCAAGCAAAAAAACCAGCAGTTCTTGCAATTATTTTACTAATAATTTTAGTGACATAAGTAGAATTTGAATTGGATCTCGTGTTGCTAGTAATGGGCAGTATTGGTCGGTTTAAGTCCTGAATCAAGATGTGAATATAGTGTGCAGCAAAGAGGAGCCACACAAGTAACCAGAACAAGGCGATATATGGTTTGTTAATTGAAAGGAGGGATATTATAGCCAATGAACCTGTTAGCAAGGTGATTATCCGCAAGAATTTACCCCAGTGGTGGTGTGTGCCTAAGTTGAAACGATCTTCTCCTTCTTTGAGGCCAACAATTGCCATTAGTGTTATAGCACACAGCATCATCATTACACAATATATGGACAACATAATTGAATGCCAAATCGGAGGGAGTACAGAAAGTTGCATAAAAGGAGTGAAGGCTGTTATTAGCAAGCTCAATATAGCTGTTATTCCAACAAAAGAGTCACCCAACCTGTAAAACAAAGCCACAAGGGAAAGTTTATTAGGCAAAAAATAATAGACAAACAAGAATATGATGAGAAGATAAAAAATAAAAATAAATAAATAAATAAAAGCCAACAACAACAACTACTAAGTGAACAACCTCAGCATTCGGCAACAGGAGGAAGACCTTGTGGAAGTACTTAGAGTAAGAAAAATAAATAATTCTTCGTCGATCCAGGCAGACCCAAATAGAAAATTTTTTTTAAAAATAATTCTACTTATCTGAAGCTGAAGCCTCAAGTTGCTGATGAGTTCAAGTAATATAAAGGAATGATGGTTCTGTTCATATTTATAAGAAATTAATTATCACGTGGTAGGGAATAGAGATAGAGGGCAGTTTGCCCTTACTATTGTCATCATTACGACGATATGGCGACGATCGATAGGAAGGGTAGTCTTATGAAGCGTCTCTGTGGTCCCAATTACCATGCAGCAAAGTTTGAAAACCTTGTTAGCGTGTTCAAATTTGGAGGGAAAAACAAAAGGTTAAAGCCTTAAAGGCAGTTATAGTCCCTCTCCTTTTTGTTTTTGGTCTTTGTCTTTCTCATACTTACAAATCATTCAAAATCTTCCCTATACTCTTCTAAATCATATTATTGTTGTCCTTATACTCCAAGTTTCCATAAAATTGCCCTCCCTACTCTCACCCCATCATTAATTTTCATTAAATGTGTCTTCTTGGCTATTAAGTATATTGTTACCTTTTGTAATAAATTAATAAAAAAGGATTTATTTTCACATAAATTTTATATATTATATTTAGAAAATAGTGCCTATTAACATTATCTCCTAAAGATTAGGAAGAAAATCATCTTAA